TGAATTATTGCCAAACATAATATCTTAGACGGCAGTTTGTTTACAAAAAGGTACTAAAACACTGTAAAACAAGTCGAAGCTAAACCACTTCAAGGTATATTCCGATAAATGAAACATATTTCAGAATAAAGATTTGAAATATTATTCTCGCCTCTTTCGCAGTTTTTAAATAAGTATGATATCTGGTATTGTACAAAAAGTAAACATGTCTCTAGTCTAATTAATTACAGGAAAATTTAGTTGAATATTACAAAACAATCCGATTTTAAAATTCAAACGCAATGCTCTTGGCTTCGAGAGCGCAATTTTTTCCATACGTAATTTAACTGTCGTATTAAAAGTATTGCTGGATTCTTTTTTATCAGAATGTGAAAGACAAAACAGGAAAATGTTTGAAGTTACCTCTATCTCTTCCTGTGTTACTCCGATGTCTGCCGCCAGAAAAGACATACTAAGTGAATCGGGATGTCTGCAAGATTTGAAAGCATCCTCAAGAGCCATGGATTTTTCTTTATCTTCGCCAAGCTTCTTAAGAATATCGGCCATCGTGCGTTTTCTGTAGTCGCGAAAAGCGTCGAATACTTGGAAATCCAAAATTCGTGACCCAAAGCTTGGATTCTTGTCTCCTCTGGATTTCGCGGTCAGCTGGACTCAAGCGACATAGCTTTGGAATTGTTGTGTTGGTCTAAAACTGAAACGTTCTTGTGCAAATTTTTCGTAGCAGGTGAATAATCGGGCCTCCTGATTGGCCGAGACCGCATTAAATACTTCCCTAGGCTGTATTTTGAGCAGCATCATATCATTATCTCATGGCGAGCCCACGAATAAATCAACATAATCACACAAAGGCTGGCGTCGTTCTGGCAGCTGAAATGAACGGATTTACTTTGTATGAAAATCACCAACACGAAAACCGGGCGAATTTTTTTTTCTACGGGGAAACTTATATTCAAGAAAAAGTAAATGGAGAAAATGTTTGGTTTTGGCGTCTTTGTAATAACAAAACCACAGATATGAAACATTCAACAAGATTTGACACTTTGCCTTCACTTAGCTAACCACGGTATTTTGCATACGATCGAGTCATTTAATTGAAATGACATGGAAAATATCGTTTCACCAAACTGCGAATAATCGCTAGTTTTTCTTCGACATCTTATATTAATTCTCGCTTTATGAGTTTACACTAATACTAGAGGCCCGATAGTTTATATTCACACTAGTTTAAACTAAGTTTCCGTATGTTCACTCTGTTTTTACATAATCTGAAGAAAATGCAGTCGATATAGATGTGGTGAAAATATTAATTCGTGAAATAGGCCATTTAATTTTTTTTTTCCGTGCAAAGAAACAAGTCTTTCAATCAACTAGAAAAGGCCTCTTTAAAGGTTAATTTTCTAAAAGTTCCGGTTTTGGATCTCTTCAAAGAGCTTTTGTAACTGCATAAAGTAACGATGGCCTTTTAAAAAGTAAATTTAAATAAATGAATAAAGCTTATCATATTATAAGTCAAATACTAGCAGCTCCAATACGCTTGCGAGACCCACGCGTTCTTTCAAGGATTACTATTAAGCCGTATAAGCCCTTTTAAGAGCTTTAACGACTAGCGGTCGCGGTAAAAGATCTTCAAGAATCTTTGTCAGCTCGGCGTATCTCGGGTTAGTACACATGAAAAGTTTAGTTGAATGAAGCCCAAGAACTAGCAAATATTTTTTTTTGTCCAAACTAGCGTTTTTCTACCTTTTTGTTCATCAAAAACTCGATACAGTGTTGCATCAACCATCAGTACCAGAGAGTTTAGGTAACCACGACGGCGACACGAGGACAATGTCGATTAAAAAATGAACTTATATTTTACCTACGAATCTCGCGATCCTCTGAGGCTATTTACTTTGTTAATCGCTGTCAAAATTATCACGAAACTGAATCTGGAACACAGCGATTAATTTGAAATAGAAAGTTAAAAAATTAGCAACCGTGGTTCACGTTCTCCAGACAATGTAATTTTCACGTTGTTGTTTTGCAGAGGAAGGTAAAGAAATGTACCAAGAATTATAACGTATGTGCACAGCCATTGTTCTACTCACTAAACCTTTTGTTTAGCGACGTTGCTTTTGTCGTCGTGGTTTCCTTCAACTCCCTAAGTACATGTAATAAAACACCGCTAAGTACGTCAAAAACTTTGCTTCGCATCAAGTCCCTTAAGCTTCTCGTTTTGTCTTACGTCACTGACCTTAAAACACAGAGCAGAATACAATGTCACTTTTATTGACAAAGGTGAATAATAACATTGCACTATAACGTATAACTCTGATAAAATCTAAATGGTGCTGTTTGTTCTCAACAACACCGCTAAGGGACACTAAACTCTCGGACAATCATATATAGACTGTTCACAAATCCTATATATAATCCAGAGGATGAAAGTACTTTTCGTGTGTACATGTATGACGTCGAAATGTATGACCATGGCAAAGGCCAAAGTAACGAATCAAATGCGTCTTCACGCCAAGTTCTTCTTTGAAGTAAGCGTCACTGAACTGTGCCTATTTCTCCTGAGCGTCGTCTTCGATGAAGTCTTTGGCCTGTTCAGCGGTTATTGCATCGATATGACTGACTTTGTTTCGGAATTTTACGCCGTAAAACTTATCGGCGGACTCTAATAGCTCGGGTCTGAAGGTTGTGGTGATAAACTGAGCTTTTTCAGCCAACTTACGAAGCATTTCTAGACAAAAGAAGGAAAACGCCGTCAGTGTAACTCTAGTTGGTGGACGTTTCGCAAATTTTCAACTCGGAAATGATAAACGTTTAAAGATAATAAAATCAAACACATTCCAACCTCTTGCAGATTTCTTCAGCCGCGCTTTTTGTGATCTACCAGCACCCCTTAAATAAAATACTAGCCTTCCTTAACGCCCAAGTCGCTAGTGGAGTGAAGGTGCCTACGAAGCCCGGGGGCTGCAACCGCAGTCACATCC